GCAAAAAAAAAAAAAAACAACAACAACAAAAAAACGGTTGATTAAAGTATGTAATCTTCACTATTCAGTAGTTACAGAACATCAATAACAGAACATTTATGAACACATATTGTTAATATTACCTCGGGCCCATCCAATGGCTATCATGACTATCCAGCCATTTCTGTAATAGCTGTTAGCATGTGTGACTCCACCTACTATTTTCCAAGTTCTGGTCACCTCCTTCATTCCAGCAGCCAGGAGTTGTACAGGAAGGTATGAATAGGCCTGGGAAACTAGGTCACATGGGCAAAAAAATATAATATACCTGAAATTTAAATATTTTAATATATGAATAGAATCAGGACAGAAATAAAAATTTAATGTGTAAGCACTAACAATACAGCATAACCAAATGAAATTATAAACTTAAAACGTTGAGTGCAAAAAAAGCAGAAGTGGGCAGAGGTAGATTTCTCTTTTAATAACATGAAACGTACACATCATGTACCAAAATGTCATGATGAATGTAAAGGTTAGATACCTGACTACACTATAGATGTATAAAGTATTAGCAGATTCTTAAATTCTATTTACAATATTCTAGAAGCTAAGTGCTGAATCTAACAAAATTAAGCAAATATACAACCATCAAAAGCTGCTTTCTTTCAGGAAATTGAGTAGTGAAAAAGGCCTTTTGTAACTGAACACGAACTGCATTTCAACCTCTACTAACATCTTTACCTGCACCCCTTTGTGCATAATGTAAACTGTAGTACAGAAAAAGAAAGCTGACAGTTTAAAGGAAAGCAGATTTATATTTTATGTTTAAAAAACAATTTTCATACAATTGAAAGAATACAAACCTAGATCTTCAATTTAGTTAAGTAAGTTTAGTTCTAACCAATTAAATTATGTTGTTAGCTTTAGAATAATTCACCACCTGTCTGGTGAAGCTTTTTAAAACTTACTCATTTGTTTTTAGCATCTGTTCAACTACAAACAGGAGCATGTACTAGAAAACATGCTGCCTTTCCCCTCCACTCTTAAAATACTGTGGTAAGCAATTTTATGCCTTGAACAAACATTCCTTCTAATGAGGTGATATAGAATGCACTGCATGAAGGAAGTATTATCTCTTCAAAGGCAGCCATTAATTTTTCTACACTTCATGATTCATAATCAGAAATCTCAAATGTATTCATAGAAAATGAAATATTTGCCAAAATACTGCTTCAGAGCCTTAATCACCACTTTTCTTCACCTCTCCTAATTCCTCCCTATTCTCCAAAGTGCCACAGAAATACTACACTATACCCACAGCTTTGGAAGTAATGTTTTATTTAGTCATCTCTGCTCAGATTAATAGTGGCTCTGCACAACTAAACAATTCATTTCTATGCCTAATATCTTTTTCATATACTTTCCTTTATAATATAAAGCAAAACCTATAATGCTCACATAAATTAAAATAGACATCCGATGACAAAAATCATTCATCTTATTATCTGCTAACCCGAAAGTCAGCATGATGAAAAGTAGTTATGAATTATTTATTGACAAACAATCTAGACACAAAACATAAAATAAGTCTAACAATCAGTTGGTAAAAAGTCTGACAAAAAAATGAATTAACTGAGTAATAAAATAATTTTTGAAACTTTTACATGTTCATTTATTGTATAAGTCTCTACACACTACTCACTTTAAATATAAAGCTAGTTTCAAAACATGGTTAAAAGGAAAAGAGTATATACACAAATAATACACTTTCCGTATGTTTTAATAAATATATTTTGACATCTACGTAGATTCAATGAAGAAAGGAGGATTTGATTTCACTTTAGCAATAATTAATGCTCAAAAGTAAAAATTATTAGTAAATAATTAATACTCAAAGGAATCACAAAAACCAACACCACAAATGACTCCATTTTTATTCCTAACACTACATGAAAACAATCTTGAACATTTTACATTGAATTATATGATATTTGGGCACCTGATCTGAAACTTATAATTATCACTATTTCTGAATCAGTCAGTATTTACTCAAGAAGTTCTAAAGTATTTGCATAATAAGCTAACAATAAGCAAACACTGTTTTCATTTGTGTGCTAAATAGTCAGCCACAGAGCAAAAGGAAAGCTATTTACTATGTTCACAGACTCACAAACAAACATATCAGACCAATGGCTCTCTAAACTCTCCACTGCTATTCTGTAACAAATTAGATTTTTGAAATTCTTTTAATGAATCATTCAACCAACATTCCTTGGTTAATCACCATACCCATCCTTCTCAAGACTAAAATCTTGCCCTATTTAAATTTGCAACACATAAGATACCTTTGACTTATAAACTGCCTAAAGAAAGTATACCAGGAAAAAGAAAAGATATAGAATGAGAAGACAATAATAGATTTTTAAATACAAAAATTATAATTATATATTGTAATTCATTTTAATATATATTTTAAAATGAATAGTCCATGTACCTTCCAAAAACCCTGCCTTCCAACACATGAGACTTTTGAGGGATACTCTAAATCTAAATCTGGAAAATTTCCCTTAGGTCAACTCTAGATGGACTATAGCTGTGCTATACTCATCAGAGGCCTGATCCATTAAGGAGTTTGTAGCTAAAAGTGCTGTTAAAAGTGGGCCTAAAGGGGCCGGGGAGATGGCTCAGTGGAATAAGCGCTTCCCTGACAAGTGCAGGGCCTGAGTTCAATCCCTAGTTCCACCAAAAAAAAAAAGTGGGCCTAGTTGAAAGCGATGTGTTGCCAGGGATATGGCTTTGGAGGGTGCACTTCCCTCCCCAGCTCCTTCCCCTTTCGTTCCTAGTTTCATTCCTAGCTTTCCCCTGCCATGCCCTCCTACCATAATGCTTTTACCTTGGGGCCACATAACATTGGCCTGAATCCCAAAACCCTGAGCCAAATTAAGTTGTGGATGATGGGTACTTTGTCCCAGTGACAGAATGTGACTGATACATCACAGTCACCAAGAACTATTTTCATTATACTATCAATCCCATTCCTTTATCAAAGATATTATGTATCAGTTAATTAAGCCAAAAAAGAATAAATATGACAGGTTTGCTCTTTGTGTACATGCTTTGAAAAAAACACGGCCGGCCAGATAGCTCAGCGGACTAAAGCGCCTGCTTAGGCAGAGTGCAGCAGCTGGGGTCCAATCCCTGGTGAGGCATGCTGAGATGGTGACTGAGACTGGACGTGGTATCGCAGGCCTACGATCCTAGTTCTTGGGAGGCTGAATACAGGCGGATCACTACGAGTCTGATCTACATAGTGAGACCCTGTAGACCTTGTACTAAATACAAAAAAAAAAAAAAAAAAAAAACTAGACACAATGACACCTGCAAAACTACCTCATTTTTTTTCTCACCAGTATATAATCTCAGTCATGTAAATATATAGTACATACTTGGAAGTTTAAGGAAATCATAATGTGACATAAAAACCAATACACAAAAAATGAAAAATATTCATTTCCCTCAGAAACTGCTTTTCCAAAAAATCCTATGAAAGCGTGTACTGTCTTTCAAGCAATAAATATGCATTATGACAAAACCAAGTTATTGTTTCTCTTTGCCAGCAGATGGTGCTAACTGCCAGATGTGAATACTATAAGGCTGTGGTGCTACTGATGACCCTGTTTACAAGCAGGTAAAGTATACTATGAACATTCTAACTCTCAAACAAAATTTAAATAAAACAGCTATTATAAATTCATTGTAAATATTAAAACTTTAAAAAAGAAAACAGTATACTGTCTTTAGGCCAGCATCATTTTTTTCATATTAAGGATCTGTAAGGACAATGTCCCTATTTCATGAGTCCAAAGAAATACCTGCACTGCCACAAAATAAAGAACAAGATATCCTAGCTTTGAAACCCAGCTCCAACTACCCAATACTGTACCTGTGATACTTTGGGCAAGGTAACTCATCCACACCTTGGCTCCATTACTCGCTAAGAATAAATAGTACCAGAGTCCATGTGAAGTTTTTGTGAGATAATAGGTACAAAGCACTTACAAAAATTGCCTAGGACAGTAAATGCTACATAAGTGAGTGTTGCCATTGTTGTCTTATAATGCCTAATAAAACAACCAAACTATTTAACAATGCTTATCAAAAGAAGAATATAGATAGCAATACAATGGGTTATATAATAATGTCAAAGGAATGACTAGCTAAATACATACACAGAGGAATCTTACTAACATGTCAAGTTAAAATAAGCCCCCAAAAACGACAGATGAAAATAGGGCCAGGGCCAGGGATATAGCTCAGTGGCCTAAGTGCCTCCCTGGCAAGCACAAGGCCCTGAGTTTGATCCCTGGTACCAGAAAGAAAAAGAAAATAGGGCTAATGGAGCTGGAGGTGTTGTTCAGTGCTACGCATAAGACCCTAGGTTTAATTTCCAATTCCACAAAGATTAATTAAATAGGGTCCAAAACAAATAAAACTAAAAATCTATTCTTTATTCATATATGTAATAGCAATTTTTCTGGAAGGCAAGATAAACACAAACCTTAGGATGAAGGTTACCTGTGGGAAATAAAAGGACAGACGAACATATGGAAATATATATACGTATATATTAGTGGTGAAGTCCAGTTCTTAGTTTGGGTATAAAACAATGGGGATATAAATTAGTATAACCACCCTATAAAGTGATTTGCCACTATCCAAATAATATATCTTAAGAATCATCTTCTTAAGAAATATATACTCTTAAGTATATGCCAAAAGAAAATCTTACTCATGTATGCTAGTAAATAATTTAAAAATTTCTTCGAAATATTGTTTGACAAGGAAAACTACAAGCAACTCTGTCAATAGAAAAATGAATTACTATGACATATTAATTCTCTTTCACTACACAGTGATGAACGTTCATAAATTACAATAACACAATAAGAATGAATCAAAGAAACAAGTTGAATAAAATATAAGTCACCAAAAAACATGATTTCATTAGAAAGCTATACTGTTTAGAGATATAAACATAAGCTAAAACTACATGAAAAAGGAAAAAAATGAAAAGCACAGAATTAAAATAATAGTTACCTTTGAACAAAGGAAAAAAGGAAACAGGAAGGGCATAGACAGGGAACATGGAAACTAATGGTAAGACTTCTGGGAAGACAGTAGTGGCTATATAAATAAACATATATATATTATATATATATATATAATATATATATGTCTTCATCTTTTCAACTCCACATATAAAAACACAAAACACAACTGGATAGCAAAACCAAAATTCTATGCACAACACTTACAACAAAACTA